ATTAATTATTTTAGCTGATAAAGCAACATAATACTGTTATATTGCATATTAGTGTTGATAAACGTATCAAGTTTTATACTTATACTTATTTTGAGTTACTATTTGTTATCTGTATTAATGTTTATTGAAAATTTATGGAATGGCATCAGGAGTTCCTTGATATATTTAGCTTTACTACAAAACAGTGTTGTTCAACTTATACTAAGCAGATGACTAGAAGAGTTTCGGGATTTACCTCTGAGTAGGTAGTATTCAAACTTTTCCTAACATTTGTTGTACTAATTTATTGATATAAAACTGCATATTTCCTATATATTATTATTGTCTTATTGCTGTAAAAGAGAAATTGAAGGCCTATTGCTTACAAAATAACATTATTAATAGCTATATAACATATAATAGCTATATTCATGTCAAGCCTTAGCTAGAAAGCAAAGCAAAACAACTTTTTCTAGTAACCAATTAGCCGTAATATTTTTCCAAAATTGTTTACGTATTTCCTTGACATATTTACCCTAAAAAGAAAAGCAAAATTTAAACAAACATTAGAAGATATTTTTTTGTAAATTGCAAACATCTGCTGAAAGTAAACAACAAATACATAAATTATCTTTCGTTGTATTCGAGAAATGCGTCAAATGAAATCAGCTGCCACTGAAATAAGTTAAATATATATAACAACAAACTAGAAATTCCCTCAAAACACTTTGATGAATGAACGAACGAACGAACGAAATGAATGAAATGAATTGGAACTTAGGCAAGCGAATGATTAGTGTGTGTGAAAATATGTCAACGAAAGTAAGCGAGGAGAAGACGGCAAAGTGAGAAATGTGAAATGAGAACAGAAGCGCCTTTTGGGGTCTTAAGTTTCGAAAAGAGATTAATTTTGACTCGGAAGCTAATGCGACCGGAACATCGGAGAACTGTTGAGAGATATCGTAGTTGTAGTTGCTAACAGGCACTTCTTTCTTTCTCGCTGACTCCACGGGGCAGACACACACACACACACACGCACAACAGAATTCGACATGCAACTAATTGCATGATGCAATTTTCCAGTTTTATGCATGATTATCAGACTCGCTCGCAACACATTTGGCTGCTGGCTAATTGTGGGCCTGCAGCTGTGAATGCGAGCATGTTATTAATCAAGAGCCAAAAACTCTCGGATTCTCCGACAACAGAGTTTTCACAGGCCCTCGAGGTCACTTGCAGTCCGATAAGACCGAGGAACGGATGCCACTTGCTCATATGTTTACTGTATATACATRTATACATACATACATATATATAAGTCTATCGCGCCTGATATATGCTAATGGGAGCAGCGTCTCATTTGATAAATGTAACAAATGGGGATTATTGTATTTTGCCCCAGCGGAAAGTGTTGCAAGTGTTTGTTTGGACTCTTTTGAGGTCAAAGCTAATGCTGACTGTTATGGGCTGTGGTGTACAGATTTTCAATTAATCGAGCGAGTTTATGAGCTGCTAATTGAGAAACGTTATTATAAGGCAATATGATTAGGGGTAATTAATTGGAATGATATGTAATTGTAAGTGTTGAAAAACGAATTAAATGAAATGAAAACTTCTCGAATTTATGCAGCTATGAAGATGCCTTATATTATAATATTTCACATCTATAATATATTTATTTAGTTATATTTACTCTCTCAGTTACTCAGTCAATATATCTGAATGAAACAAAACATACATTTGATTTGGCTTTATAATTTTATCATATTATTTCAAATCTGAATTCTATAAACACACATAAATATAAAAATATGACACAATCTGTTAATCATTCAATAACATTTCCTTAAATTGTGACTTGATAAGTGAATCGTATTCTTATAAATATATTTTTATTATATTACTAATATTATGCCATATCATTCTCTATATAATCAAATATACTTTTTGGATTGTAGCCTCTTTCGCTTATTTCTCATCGAGTTTTAGCCTAAAGCATTTTCCCAGCCCTTTCCCAGTTGATGAGTGAAACCCCACTTATGCCTGCCTTAAGATAATAATTAATATTGTTTTAAATCTACAATCTATATATACATATATGTATTCATTCTGTCAATCATGCAATCAACATTTCTGATTGCAGCCCCTTTCACTTGCACTTGCTCAGCCAAATTGTCATTTTGTGTTGGCCTAATGCATTTTCCTAACCCTTTGCCAGCGGCCAGCTTGTTTTTCTTGCTTTTCACTATTGAGCACTCATTTCCCGCCGTCATTATGTCACCTGTCACACTGTTCGCTACTTTCCAGTTCAAAGTTACGACTCAGCTTTAAAAATTGTACAAAATTTCGTACACACACAGGGTGTTTCCTGTTGCTCGACACGCAGACCGCGTTGACCCTGGAACAAGCTTCAACAAAAGTGACAAGTGACAAAAGCGACTCCCTGCACTTCCCCTACTTGTCTTCCTCTCTATCTCCCCCTCCCCCTCTCTCTCTCTCACTCACACTACTTTCCTGTTTTGCAACGGCACTTGTTACTCAATGCGTCTGCTTGGACTTTTAATTTGCTTTTTTTATATTATTATTTTTTATGTTATTTTACGGCTTGTTGTTGTTGTTTATTTTAGCCAGCGGTTTTTGTTTTCTCTTCTTTTTTATTTCTGTAGAATTTGAATTAGATTCTAGTTTTTCTGCCCCTTTACATACTATAATTTTGTTGCTGTTGTTAATGTTTTTCTTGTTGTATTTTTTGGCATGGTTCATTGTACACATATCTGAGCAACAGAGGCCCTAATAGAGCTCCCTCCATATGGCACTAAAGACTTTGACTCAGCAGGTCTCTTCCTCTAGCTCTACCTCTCTCTTGCTCTCTTTCGCCCTCTCTGTCTTATAGATAGTTTACATGTCATTTTTTTGGTGGGCCCCATTCCTAGTTCTTTTCAGTTGTTGCTGTGCCGCGCGTCGCGTTGTTTGTCCAACGGTTCTCATTCTATTCAATATCACATATATTTATATATATAATATATATCTATTCACCTAAATAGCTCTCAGTTTGCTTTGACGTCAATTAGTTTTGTGTTTTTATCGGTTACTCATAGTCATTTTGTTTGCTGTTATTTACATAGCTTTTTTGCCCCCTAAACATCGCAAATTGCAGTTAATTAAGCTTAATTGAAGGCTCTAGGCACAGTTTGACAGCCACTGTACAGAGACAGCCACCCACAAATGCGAGGCATTTTTTATTCAATTGAACTTTTCACTTGACTTTTTGTAAGCTGTAAATAATAAGCAAATGAGAAAGATATGGATAGATGGAAGAGCGAAGAGCATACAATTGGATTTCTATGTAATCTCATTTAGCATTTGCGCTGAGAATCAAAACTGCTTGAAGCATTTACAAACACTGTTTCTGTTACTGCTATTTATTTGAAGAGAATTTGCGTTAGCTTGAATCGTATTTCAATTTGACCTTATGATTTACGTAGACAGTTTTCTACTTATAAAGAAGACGGAACTCACTTTTTAGAGTCAAGCAAACGTGGCAGAATATTTCCTATGCATTTACCAACACTATTAGCTGGTAGCATCAACATCTATTCTCTGTTTACAAAAGCTAAATAAACAATTATGAATTTTATACATTCACTTCTATCATTTTGATAGATTAAAATATTGTCTTGAACATTTACCAACACTATAGTAAATATAAAAACATTGACAGCTGTTGACTATAAGTTTCTTAAAAATGAGCAATTGAATCGAAGCCATCCAGCCTTCTATTTATGGGCATGTTTGAATGCCTAATTTGCTGCAGTCAATTTTCTTCTTATAAGCAAACCTGACTGGAATATCAACTTATGCATTTATCAACACTGCGCCTAGCGCTTGGCTATTAGCATATGCATATACTGTAATGCAAATAAGGAATATAATTGATGCAGTAATTTTTTTTTTTTTTTTTTTGCTTCCGCTAGTTGTCTATACACTTTAACTTTCACAGAACTTTGCAACACTGGCTAACCGTAGCAACACACGTTTGTTGAGTGTATCAGCTTCACAGTGTTACGCTTGCAACACAAATGCGCATCCGCCTTCAACATGCCTTATCGCCTGTAATTAACAGCTGAGCACACATATGACGAGTGATTTCTGAAATATATTCTTACACACATACACACAGATATGTATGTGTGCATGATAATTACACTGCACAGCAGTGGCAAACTCGGAATCGCTGCAGTTAACAATTCAGTTTCCCATGTCTAGCCAAAAGTCTATGATGAACGCAACGCCAACATTTGCTTTGGGGTGCAGAAAATAAAACACCTGGGCGTATGCTTAATATTTATGAAATTTATATGGGCTAGGCAGCCATGTCTCCGACTCTCGACTACTCTACACTGAGCAGCAAGAGTGCTGAAATTAAAAGTGAAATTAACTTTGAATTTTAAAAGCCACATGAGTGTGCACAACAAGAACAGCTGCTGGTGAAACAGAGCTGAGAATGCGTTTAGAATGAAGTTAATGCATATTTAATTGAGACGCTTTGTCCGATTTTGTTGCAGAGTGTAATTAAGTGTTGCCAGCCCACAGCGTGTTGCGTTCGCCGCTGTCGAACGGAAAATAAAACAAATAATACAGCCTCCGGCTACGTTTGCAGTCGGTTGGGGCAAGCAAATGAGCAAAGACGACGCCGAACGCGCAAAGCCAACAAAAATTTGTGTGGAATTTTTGATGAGCAGAGTGCAAGAGGCAAACACATATACACAGCCGATACACAGTATACATATATTGAGTGCCAGATAATGTATATATCATATATGTGCAAATGCATTTGAAAAATCACATGGCTGATATGCAGTTGGTGAATGAGCTGCTCAGCGACTTGCGGCATATGAAAAAAAATTGTGTTAGTAGTAGTTTGTAATGCCATTCAATTATTGATCTCAGCTCTCGAACATTCCACAAAGCAAAGCCAATAATACTAATATTTTCCTTTCTTTTGTTGTTTTTCCTTTTAGCTGGAGCTGCTGCAGCGCAAGGTGGACGATCTGTCAGATACGCAAAATATAGCCGAGGATCGGACGACGCGCACAAAGACTGAATATGCGGTGCTCCAGGCGCGCTATCACATGCTCGAGGAGCAGTACAGAGAGGTAAGTAACAGTTAACAGTTTGACAGCCATTGACATATGATAATAATGCTTCCATTTCGCTTGCAGTCGGAGCTGCGCGCCGAGGAACGTTTGGCCGAGGAACAGAAACGCCATCGTGAAATTTTGGCCCGTGTGGAACGCGAAGCCTCGCTGCAGAACGAGAACTGCCAGATAAAGATCAAAGCCACCGAGATCGAGGCGAATGCACTGCGCGATGAGGCGCAACGGTTGCGTGTCTTGTGCGATAAACAGGCCAACGATTTGCATCGCACCGAGGAGCAGCTGGAGCTGGCACGCGATCAGATTGCGGCGCTGCAACAGGAGTGCGATGAGCAAATGCAAACGGTGCGCCGCTACGAGCAGGAAAAGAAGTCCACCGAGGAGCTGATGCTCGAGCTGAGTCGCGAGCTGCAGCGCCTTCGCGAGGAGAACGGGGCGCGTGCCATGCCCACCACATCACCCGAGAGCATAAGACTGGAGGAGCTGCATCAGGAGCTGGAGGAGATGCGTCAAAAGAATCGCTGTAAGTGAATGATCATCGCACCCCCTCATCTCTATACTCTACATTAACATATGCATATCTTTCCTCCTTGCAGCACTCGAGGAGCAGAACGAGGAGCTGCAGGCCACCATGCTGACGAATCAGGCCACCATGCTGACAAACGGCGTGGAGCAGGGCCGCAATCTGCTGAATGGCACGCTCAACAATTTGGCCCAGGAGCTGGAGGAGATGTCACAAGCTCAGGTTTGTAGGCCGACCACACTTAGCCAAGCTTCACTGTTTCCTCGCCGTGCCTATGCCTATGATCTTTTGCTTTTTTATTATGCCGCGTCCACGCCCACAATTGCATTAGTCAAACACGCCGCCCACGCACAGTCACAACAGCTTGTTAGAATCGCACAGTCTGAGAGTCCCGCATTTCGTCGTTGTTGTTTTCTTCTACATCTCACATATTTTTATATATATATAAATGTATTTATTGTATTACAGGATTCTGTGGATTCAGCCACATTAGCATCCTTAAGTCAGGTAATGCTTATCCACAAAAACAAATTCATTAAACCAAAAATCAAACAGAACAAGGTTTGGGAGCCGTTGTGCATGTGCTGCAGTTTGACAGTGACTGACTGTCATTTGGTTGTGGTTCACTGTATTTAATTTACAATTACTATTACTTTCGGCACATTTATTAATGAAAATTTCAAATTTTTACGTTGGTTTCATTGGGTACTTAACGAAATTCATCAAGATCATTAAAAAAAAATCCATAACATTCATGTTGTATATAAGAAATCAAAGTCTGTGTTAATGTGTTCAGTGTGTAAGACTCTATAAAAGACTATCCAACTAATCGGCCTTCAATCAATTCCAGCTGCAACAGGCCTTCCAGGAAAAGGAAGATGAAAATGTGCGACTCAAGCACTATATCGATACGATCCTACTCAACATCGTGGAGAACTATCCCCAGCTGCTCGAAGTGAAGCCAATCGAGCGCAAATGAAGCCGCAACTTTATGAAGTGAAATGAAGAGAAATATATATTAGCCGGATACTACTCTCTGGACCACCTTTAACCTTTACTCAAAAAGAAAGAAAAAAAAAAAAAACTAATGAACTAATTTAATATAAATTTTAAGCAAGTCCCATATATTTATGTATACAGTTTAAGTCATAATTTATTTTATAACAATTTATTGTAGTTTTTAAACCGAACAACACAAGTGAACAGAACTACGGATCTATGTGAAATTATCTAATGCAAATTCTGTTGATCATTTATATATATATATACGATGTATCTATATCTTTTGCGTCTAACTTTTTAACCAACCGTTATTTGTGTATAAACAAAATTTCATGTTTGTAAAATAGCAAAAAAGAGCAAATTCAATTGTCTAGCAAAAAGAGGAAAAAAAGAGAATGTCTAACCCAGCAAATTGTTTATAGTTTTTGTAGTGTTGTTGAGCCCTGAAGATATTAACTATATAAATTACTAGCTCGTAAGATTATACACCTTTTAACCATGAAAATTTATGAATATAAAAGAGAAATGATAACTAGAATGTATATGATGTGTATATGCGTTTGTAGACCTAGCGAACGGAATCGTGTGCTGAAGTCCGTTCAAATGTTTTACTCTATAAAAATAATAATATATTATTTGAAATTTGTTAAATATAGTTTTAGTAATGATGGGCAGTGCTTGGGAGACATGGTTTCAACTATATATTGCATTGTATTCGAGGTTCTATAGTAATCCCAACTATTTTTGGTTTCTTCAACTTTCTGTGGACATTGCCAAATTTCTCAATGTTTTTATTACTATTCTCTCTTCCAATATATTTTCTGCCTACCCCATTTTCCAAGTGTCTTACGCTGCCCATATATACTAATCCAGATCAATGAATGAACCTATCAAAAATTTGCGTTTATGGTATGGACAATCCCCAGGATATGTAGTTGGAGTTTTTAGTTATACTCGACAGAGAGAGAGAAAGAGGGAGAAAGTAAAAATAAAAAACATTTTAATTATAAAACTAAAACATATTTAATCAAACTACGTACTACTTATGCATATGTATTTGTAAACTTAAATGATGGACGTAATGTGCAAAGTTTTGGGCAACGCAATGCAGTTTGATAGACGAACTGTGGAGGAACCCCAATAGCTTAAACTTAAACTCAACGAAAAACTTAAAACAGAACTCAAAGTGGTCAACTTTTTAATATATACATATATATAAAATATATCGAAACTAAATTTAATAATTTGCTAATCAAAATATTTGATGCCTTAAATGATTTTTAAACAATGTTAGTAATTAATTTGTATAATATAGACGGATAGATAGTGCGGAGTTCTAAGCTTGTAGATAACACTAACAAAAAGTCCATTATGCTTAACTAAATAAATGTATACATAACTAAATATACAAATATGTATGTAGTACACACAAACAACTATGCTGTATGCATCAAGTTTTAAATGTAATTTACACCAAGGAAGTGTACGAAATATTACTAAAAATAATAAAGAACAATTTTATAAGAAATGTGAAAGAGATGTTTTACCAATTGCTTAAATATTTATGAGTGCTCAATGAAGTGCCAAAAAAATGCAATTAGCATAATTTTTGGATTTATTAAGGAAAGCTTTGTCCGAACAGGTTCTGGCAGAATTTGTTGTTAAGTCATTCCAGCTGTTCGATTGCATGCTTCAAACCGGTCCCTCACGCAACCTCGGAGGGCGTCTGAAGGTGTATAAAAGCCCATGCCAAGACCCAGTTAAGGACACAGAAGACCAACAAGTCAAAGTCTGAAGATGGGAAAAGTCCATTTGGTATTGGCCACAGGTTGGAACTCTCATCTAAATATAACCCAAGCAGCTCATCTCATATCTTCTATCTCTTCTTAGTGCTGCTGTGCTCCGCGTTTGTCACAGCGCAGGTGAAGCCAAATGAAGAGATCGGCCGAGTTACAGTCCAGGTGCCGTTGCTGTCAAATGGAAAGCCCGTCATGAGCCAAGATAAGGAATTGGTGGAGGTAGCACGTGTGGTGGAGGTCAATCCGGGCAAGCTGACGCCAGAAGAGGTTGTGGTGCCCCTAGTCAAGGTACGCAACATGAGAGCTATTCGGGACACTGAGAATCCGGGTGTGCCCAATCCTGGTATCCCGAACCCTGGCATGCCCAATCCTGGTATTCCAAACCTTGGCATGCCCAATCCTGGTATTCCAAACCGCGGTATGCCCAATCCAGGAATCGAAAATCCCGGCATGCCCAATCCTGGTATCCCGAACCCTGGCATGCCCAATCCTGGTATTCCAAACCGCGGTATGCCCAATCCAGGAATCGAAAATCCCGG